ACATGAACATGGGTGTTTACGTTTCAGTTAGCATTTCTGTTTTCACTTCTTTGGGGTCTGTACCAAAGAGCGGGATGGCTGGACCATATGGCACTATTCAATTGAGGAAAAACCAAAATTCTTTTCCAGCAGTTACACCCTTTTACATGCCTACCACCAATCGAGGATTCCAGTTTCTTCACACCCTCGTCAACAACTTTTTATCTGAGTTATATTTTTTGCTCTTGTTTTTCTATTGGGGATCAGGTGGCATCCCATTGTAGTTTTGATTAGCCACCTCTCGGATGGCTAATAAAGTTGAACATCTTTTCATGTGTCTGGTGGCTATTTGAATGTCGGCTTTGATGAGATGTCTGTTCACGTTCTTGGCCCATTTTTGATTGGGTCATTAGTCTTTCTGATGTTAAATAGTAGACGTTTCTATCTTATTATCTTTTCGACGAAGCTTCCATTGTCCTCAGAGGTTTAAATATTTTGGAAGCTGGATTGTTCTGCGCCACATGGTTCCTGAGTATTTTCTTCTGATCTGTAGCTTGTTCTCCTGGCTGTTGACGGTTTCGAAGTCACGCTCGTCACCACGCTGCAAGGCTGACCCTAGCAGCATGAGGAGAGACACTTGGGTCATTTTAGGAACACTGAAGTTGGAGGGGTCTTTCTGCAATCTGAGGTGGTGAGACCATAATATTACGAATAGGGGGGAATGATTATAGATCATGTTTTCTGAAGATTCACTGTGTGCTGATGCGTTGACTGAACGATCTCATTTAATGCTCCCAACAACTTAAGAGGTAGGCATGAAGTACAGAGGGCTTAATAAATTTGTCTAGGTCATAACTGATAGAATTCATATCCAAATCCTGCCAGGCTGACTCTGGGGTCAGCATTCACATGTCATCGTCTGTGCTTCTTGCGTTGCGACAGATGTTGTTGCTGTTGTTGTGAGTAGGTGCTATTGAGTTAGTCCTGACCCGTAGTGACGCTATGCACAGCAGATCTTAGAGGTAGCTCATCTTCCCCAAACTCTATTTTGCAAACGCGCAACCCAACCACACTCACGGTTGTGGAGTCGATTCCAACTCAAAGCACTCCTCGAGGACAGGGTAGACCCCTCAGAGTTTCCGAGGCAGCACATCTTTACTGGGTGGGGTGGGGTGCGGTAGAAAACCTAATCTGTCGCCTGCAGAGCATCTGGTGATTTCAAAGTGCTGGCCTTGCGGTTGGTTAGCAGCCAAGGTGTCACCCACTGTCCCAGCAAATGACACTTACCCTTCAAGGGACTTGTTCATGGTCTTATTGTTGGGTGCCGTCCCTGTGTCCCACAGAACAAATCACTGCGTGGTCCTGCACCTCCTCACAACGCGATGTTTCAGCCCACTGCCGGCAGCTGCTGGGCCAATCCGTACGTACACACGGAGGCCCTCCCTATAAGGTAGACCTGCCTCTGTCCGTTTCTGAGACTCTTTACTAGAGCAGAAAGCCACTCAAGCGCCAGCCATGCCATACTGGCCACAGGGCAGCTGACACCTTGTGGTGCCCCACCCGTGTCCCTGACAAGCCCGGGTGCCACCGTGGTTGGTGCCCAACAGCTGCATGACCAAGGACCCGGAGGCAAAGCACGCTGGGGTGTGGGGGCTGATCTGACGTTGCCAAGCGGAGGCCTCTTTCCGAAAAAAGAAAAAAAAAAAAGAAAGCCCCATCTTTTTCCCATGGAGCAGCTGGTGGTTTTGAACTGCTAACCTCAAGCTTAGACGCCTAACTTGTAACCACTATGCCACCAGGGCGCTTTAACATATCCTGTAGGGGCTACATGATACGAACTAGAGATACAGGTCTCTGGATTCCTATTAAACCCCTTTCAACCAGGGAATGCAGTTAAAATTCAGAATTGGTTTCTGAACCTTGGCCTCGCTATCTGTTCAATGGAGGAAAAAATGAGTGGAGAAGACAGATCGCTAGCTCGACAAACACATCAGATTGTGGCTGGGACATACAAAAGAAACAGTTAGGGCATGTGATGAGAACAACTGAAGCTGAGCTGCGTCCACTATGGGAGGTTTCACCGAGAAGTGGCCTTGCCTTAGACCTGATATGATATGATAAGAATAACAAGAATGGCCGGGGCTGGGGCGGGGCTGGGTTAGAAAATTCTGGGTTCTACCAGGTAGGTTAGTTCTAGCTCTAGTCCCTAACTTGGACACGTTGCTTCCTTTCTGGGCCTCAGCTTCCCCATGGGGGGGTGGGTGGATTTCTGGTCTCTGTGATCTCTTTTTGCATCTGTGACTGTTTAGAGTGAAGACCGGACAAGATCTTGAGGCCATCTTGCGTCCCCCCTTCTAGGTCAAGGGAGAAAACCCTATCTGTTGGCTTCTACTATGTGCCAGGCTTTCAACCATCCTTCCAGGAGCTAGGATTCACCCCCATGTAGCACAACAGTGCTAACAGCATTGAAAGAATGCCCGCAGTCAGGCCCAAGTTTCTGGCAGGGCAGGCCTGGGGGCAGGGCGGTAGTGCGTGGATGGTGGGGAGCCGAGGGTGCAGCGGGGCACACCAGGCTGTGTAGCACAGACCCACTATTGTCCCCGGAGGCTCCCACCGGAGCCATACCAATCTCTCTGGCCCTGAGGCTGACCTTTGGGGCTGGAAATCAATAACCTGGACTCTGGCTTTGGCCCCCCTTGTCCACCCCCAGTGACCACAGGCTGCTCTGAAGAGAACCCAGGGTCATTAAGGAACTGTCACTCTCCCTCACCCTATTTGAATGCACAGCTGGGGGAAGGGCCTGGACTGGGGCCTTCTGGGGAGACACAGGTGTGGACAGGTCCTCCCCATGCTCACCCTGGGGCCGCCATCTCTGCTCCTCCTGGATCACCACTCGCTGCTGCTCGGGTTCGCCCTCTGCCAGGGCGGCCCAGGGCCGGGGCGACTTCCTCCTGCTCTCCCACCTCTGACCACGGAGCCCGAGCCTCCTCCCCTGAGTCCATGTTCATCGGTACATTCAACCCTGGTGGCGGAGTGGCTGGGCTGCTACCGCTTCAAGGGCAGCAGGCGGAAAGAGAGACGAGGCTTTCTGCTCTTGAAAAGAGTTACAGTCTCGGAAACCCACAGGGGCAGTTCTGCCCTGTCCTAGAGTGGCACACCGTGAGTCCACCGGTGGTAGTGAGCTGGTTTGGGTTGGTTTTTTATCTCCTTCTATGGACCCCTGCCTCTGCACTGTGGAATGTGTCCGTCAAAGCAGGAGAGGGGCATTCATTCACCATTTTCTAAATATTCCACCTTAGGGGGTCTTCTCACCTCCCTCTCCCCCAAGCAACCTATTTGTTAGGAGGCTCTCCTGTTAGGAGGACTCTCTCAGAAACCCACCTTGCCAACCTCCTTTCTTTCTCCAACCAAACCCCATGCTTCCTGCCCACCAGTCTTCACCACCTTGACCCCAAAGCTCCAGGCGACCACTTCTGGTTGATTGATTAGAGAGAAAAGGGAAGGCGACCAATGGAAGAATCTGGGCCTGTTTTTATGCAAAGCTCTAGGAGGGAGGAGTCTTTCATTGCGCAGAGGCATCTGAGGTGGCCACGGTGGCATTTGAGGTGCTACGGGAGGAGGTGGGGTCGGAGGAGAGGAGGTGGGGTGGGAGGCGGGATAGGATCTCCAGTGCTTGGAGGGTGGGTGTGGGGTCAGTCATGGTCAGAACGGATGCTCCAGGGCTGGGAGGAGACCGGTGGTGAGTTGGCAGAGATGAGAAGGCAGACCCAAGGTGGGTTGGTAGGTGTCTGGGTAGGAGATGGGCGTTTCCAAGACGGCCCCAACAGGTAAGAAGTAGGACTCCCCGATTGTTCCCAGCTGATGTCCTGGGTGACTGGTACTCTTGCTTTCCAGCGGGGGGCGATCTGTCCCCACAGTTCCTCTTTCTTAGTCTGCCCCGACTGGGTTCCTTTGTTAATTCATCTGCGGGAAATACTTGAGCACCACTGTGTGCCGGGCTTTGTGCCGGAAACTGGAAAAATACAGGCACGGGTTAGCTAGACAGGTGGCTAAACAAGGGCTGGACCTCGAGGGACTAGGATAGCAGGGTGTAAATCATCATAATGATGAAGGCCGAGGCCTGGGTGAATGTGTCTTCTTGGGGATCAGGCTGGTCTTGGGGATCAGGCAAGGCCTTTCTGAGGAATTGACTTTTACACGAAGACGTAACAGAGACTTGAATCGTGACCACGTGGGACTGTGGGGAAGAGGTGCAGATGGGTGTGTGTGGATTGTGTGTCCGGCAGAGGGGCAGCGTGAAGAGCCCCAGACAGAAGTGATTCCAGGGGTCCCCACCGGGGGGAGGGTAAGAAGTCAGTGGACAACGCAGAGTGCTGCTAATGACTGCTCACCATTCCTGTAATCGGTGTCACCGCGTTGCACCCGTGAACATGCTGATGTGGCAAATGTTCTAAGTGTATTTTTTACAACGTTATGTTTATATCATTAACAATTATATATGTATGAAGCCAATGTATGTCTAGATTAAGCAATGATCAGAGGTTTATTTGATTCTGTTGTGGGACATCCCCCCATCCACCCCCAACACACACACACACTGAAATCTTAACAAATTCAGTTTTCCTTTCTCTCTTTTTTAAAAAAATTGTGATTTGTGATGTGGGTGGAAGTTGACAGCGCAAATTAGCTCCCAGGCAACCATTCATACACATTTGGCTTTGTGCCCTCGGTTGAAAACCCCGCCATCTAACGGCACTCCTCCTTCTTCCTCTTGGTGTTTCCGTTCCTCCCCTGATCCCCTCTGCCTGCCTTCTGCGAGTGCTCTCTAGGCAGATGCTGCCCTTTGGGTCTTTCGTGATTGATAAGGCATGCATATTATTGTATTGTTCACCTTATCAGCCTGTTCATTATTGCCTGTTATTGTTTACCTTATCAGCCTCTATATTACTGGCTGAGAGTTGGACCCCAGAGGTGAGATCAGTGCCAGGGTGACTAATGCTATAGTCTTTTCGCCCTGTCCTGTGCCCCTTTAAGGTTGCTGCAGTGCTTTAAGAGGGGAACACAGACTGGCAAGGCACCCCTCCATAAAACCCAGAGACGAGGTCTGTGGAACTCTTCTTTGGAGCCCATCTGGAGTCACAGCTGAACCCGAAGGAAGCGCGTTGTCCTTAAAGTTTGAGCACCTATATGGGGGGGGTTCTCATGTAGGACTTAGTACAAGGTAGAGACCATGTACACATGTGTGCACAATACTTTATTTCAAAGAATAACCTTTGGGTGGTTACACACATACACACAAAGACTGGTCTGTTAAATGATTTTGAGTTCTGTTTCGTTTTACATTTCTCTTCCACTCTCTCCAGGCTCTCGTATGGGCATTCCTCTCAGCGAGGTCTGCCATGGGAGCCAGTCACCAGGAGGCTCTGGTTAGCGAGTTCTCTGTCCATTAGGCCTTGGGTTCACTGTCTCCATGCATCTTTCGTTCATTTCCCTTTTCTCTGCCCTCCGTAGGGAGAGACCAGTAGTTGGACATTCCATGGCCACTCAAGTTTTTAAGACCCCAGTCGCTGTGCACCAACATAGAACATTGTCTTTGTGGGCTGTGGTGCCAAGGGAGCTGATGTCCCCTCCGACGATGGGCCCGAGACCCCAGGTGCAGCGATGCAGCGATTCAATCTCTTAGGTGTTTGGTTCTGGTCAAGCAGTCTCATGACTTTGCCTGCTGTCTGCTTAACTGTAACAGGGGACGTAAAAGAGCATTGCCACAAAATCACTGATACATGTATAAAACAAAGCAAAACACATCAAAATAGGAAGTTATTGTTTCTCAACATGTCTCCTATCTAGGTCTACACATTTCTGCAAGCGGTGTTTCCATCTCTACGACACTGCCCGGGAGAACGCTGCCCTCTTCGGTTGACATCACACCCAGACAGGGTTAGTGCCTCGCTGGTGGACTCTGATAGCGTCCGTTCCCTTTCAGTGTACCCCGAGTCTTTGGGGACATAAAGAACTCTGAAGGGGTCGATGTACAAGCCCCCCGCCCCCTGAGGGTGATGAGCAACAGACATGTGGGATAAAGAAGACAGAGGACGGGGTAAGATATGAAAATGATAATAATTCATAATTTAAAATATTAAAAAATAACTTGTAATTTATAAAGGGGTCACGAGGGTGGAAGAGTCGGGGGAGGGGAGGGAAAAAAGAGGAGGTGATACCAAGGGCTCCAGTAGAAAGAAAACGTTTTGGAAATGTTGATGACAACATATGTACGCATGTGCTTGATACAATTGATGTATGGATTGTGATAAGAGCTGTAAGAGACCCCAGTAAAATGATTTATGAAAATGAAAATAATAAATAAAGGAAATCTGAAGGCGCTAGACCAGGGCTGTGGGGCGTGGCGGCCATGAGACTACTCAGGGAACTTCGATCTCAGCCCTTGCTGCCCTCCAAGAACGAGCAGCCGCGCTGTTGGATGGAAAACGGCCCAGCGGAGCTTTCCCAGCCTTGTTCTTACCAATGCAGCTTTCAACTGTCTCAAAATTCCTTCCTAATAAACCTCTGTAATCATCCTCTGTCATTTGAGAAAAAAAGTCTATGAAGATTACTCCTTTCAAATGCAAACAATAGCAACAAACACAGACTTGTGGGGAAGGGAATTGCGTGGACTGGCCCTTCCTGCCATGTCTCCATCACTCCCACCAAATGATTGGGTGGCTCCCTCCCTCGCTGCTCTCCTGTGGAGCTCGGCTCACAGTGACCGGGTGGGACAGCTGAGGACTGCCCAGGTGGATTTCTCATACTGCACCTCTTTAGAGGAGAAGACCCATGGAGCGGCTGGTGGTTTCAAACTGCTGACCTTGCAATTAGCCACCCAACATGTAACCCATACACTCCCCGTGCAAATAAGGTGTGTGAAATACTGCAGGGGGTTGATCAGGTTTGTGGTTCTACTGGGCATATCATTGAACCATCGCAATAACACAGAGAGAAAGAGAGAGAGAGAGAGTCCCATGATCATCAAGAAAGAGGAGCCATCAACGGAGCATGTGCAAGATCCCTGTCTGAAGTGACAGACGCAGCAAAGACATGAGACAAAGTTTAGGAACATTGCTGAGACATTGAGGCAGAGCAGAGGAGCAGCATGCCTGAGAAAAGGTATTTAGGACACACACACAAACACACACACACACACACACACACACAAACTGTATTCTTAAATTTTTGTAACCTGTTAGCTCCCCTAGCAAACTGGATAGCAAGAAGTTTGTTTTTGTTTCGACCCATTTAAAATTTGTTCTAGTGTTTTGTATCTTCTGTACCTGTTGTCTGAGCCGCGCGCGGCAGGGAATGATCACATCCGGCAGAGAAGAGTGCTGTGGGAAGGGTGGTTGGTATCAGAACCAGATACGAGGAAGGAGGATAGAGGCATGTCTGACCTCCGACGCGTGACAGTCAATCTGGAGCTGCCATGTAGTTGGATTCTCCTCCGTTTTGTAGCCAGAAGAGGTCAGAAGTGGTCCCTGTGCCATGAAGCGTGGTAGATTAATATCTCAGTAGTTAATTTCAACTCATTTTTTCTTTTATCCTCTACAATATGTTCATTATAGAGATGGCAAAATGTGGTGAAGAAATCGGATAGTGTTCGGCTGTCAGGAAGAATAGCACCTTGGTCTCCAAGGCTTGTAGTCACACAATCAGCCATTCAAATGAGGTGTCAGCTAAGTCCACGTGGAAGAAGCACACCAACCTGTGTGATCCAAGGACTACAAGTAACGAAATCCAAGACTGGAGGAGGAGACGGTGTTAGAGCTTAAATTCTGAGCCTCAGTTTTCAGAAGGCTCTGGATGACAGTGAAAGCCCAACATCCATTTGCAGGGTCCTTCCATGGAGTCTGGTGAATTCCCTCTGACCGTTAACTAGGGATGAGAAAGCCTTGCTATCAGACAGAGTGCACTGGAAAGCGGATTCATGCAGGTATTAGCAAGTTAAATGTTAACCCTCTGTCCTTTGTTCTCCCTTTTGACCCATTTGAAGTGCCCTGGTGGTGTCATGGTTACCCATAGGCCTGTGATCCCCAAGGTCCACACTCAGAAACCAGCAGCAGTTCTGTGGGAGAAAGGCGGGGGCTCTTTACTTCTGTCCAGTGCTGCTGTCTTGGAAGCTCAAGGGGGCAGTTCTACCTTGTCCTGCGGGGGCGCTGTAAGTCAGAATCAACTGGATAGCAAGGAGTTTGTTTTTGTTTCGATCCATTTAAAATTTGTTCTAGTTTTTAGTATCTTCTGCTTTCTTTTCTTTTTAAAATTAAAAAATTTTTTCTTTTAATTTAAGGCTTTTTTCTGTCTTATTCTGTTTTTTTGGGGGGTTTTTTGTGTACGTTTTTCTGTCTAGGAAATCCAGGTTAGGTAAATCTACAGAGATAGTAACTGGATTAATAATTTCTTAGTGTCATGGCAGGTTGGGGGAAGATGGGGAGCTAAGCATAACGAGTAAAAGAAAGAAGAAAATGTTCTAAAATTGATTGTGGTGATGACCGCACAATGCTTTTTAATATGATTAAACCACTGAATCGGATGATATGTGAATCATATATCAATGAAACTCTTAATTTAAAACAAAAGAAAGAAAAATAAATCTTCATTGTGTGGTTTGAGACAGACCCATAGAAAGATTGCTGTGTCCGAGGTCAGGCCACATTTCAGCCGATGAGGTTGGCCATTTGGCATTTCCCAAACATGGAACGTTGACCTCCCTGAAAGGGTGGGCCTAGAAGCCAGAAGGTGAGCAGCCCACCTCTCAGCGCCATCTTGCCAGCCGGGCTCCGCTCGCTTGTCACTTTGTGTTTCTCCCCTCTGTTCGCATCCTTGATAGTGTCCTTCCAAGGACAAACGTCGTCGCTTGTCTGTTTTCCTTGATTGTTTCATTACATGTCCTTTTGGTCTCGCACCAAGAAGGCCTTGCCTAGCCCGAGGTTACAAAGATTTGCACCTATATTTTCTGCTAAGAGCGGTACAGGGTTAGCGCTGACATTTAGATCTCTGGTTCATTTCCATTTCTTTTGCAGACAAATTCACTCCTTTGCCATGGGTATCCGTTTCATCCGCTCCATTTAAAAATATTGTGTCCTGTAACCTCGCGGACACAATAGGTCATCTGTGAATGTGAATAGTTTTACCTCTTCCTTTCCAGTCCGATGTCTTCTTTCTTTACACAGTTTTATTGGCACATAATCTACATATCATACAATTCAACAGTTCACTCATATCAAGAAGGGTTTTACAATCATTACCACAATCAATTTCAGAACATTTTATTTCTTATATTCATTGTTATTAGCTCCTCATTCCCTCCAATTTCCTATGTGTTACCCCCAAGGAGCCATTAATCCAGTCACGGCTTCTATAGATTCACCCATCTTGGATTTTATATACCAAAAACCATACAAACCTAAAAGAAACAACAAAACGAAAGCTAACAGTGACAACATAAAATAGAGAAGACCCCCAATCACAAAAAAAGCAGAAAATATTAAAAACTAGAACAACTTTAAAACGAATCAAAAGGAGATGTTAAATTCTAACCCAACTGCATCTGCCATCGCCCACTTCTGCATGATAGCAAGGCCATTCACGTCCTGGTCTACGGTCAGAAGGGATTCTCTGGAGGCTGAATCCACATGGTTTCCCCTTAAAAAAAAAAAAGGTAACGACTTTAAAATGGACAAAAGGGAGATCAAATAAGATATTACATTTTAACCTAACTATATTTGCTATAATCATCGTTGCAATGCTCTCTGGCTGATAACAAGGCCATTCACATCCCTGAACTATGGTCAGAGGGGATTCCCCGGGGCTTCACCCATGTGGGACCTCTACAAATGGATTTAGGCTTTCACGGTCATCCACGGCCCTTGGGTCACACAGGCTGGACCTAGTTGATGCCTCGCTTACGTGGCACCTTGTTTGAAGACAAGCCTTTAAGATGTGGGGGAAGGTAAATGATGATTGTAAAGAGGCACTCACTAAATATGCGTCTTGTGTCTTTTTGCTGACTGCATATTATTCCATTGCATGGTGGACACAACGTGTATGTAACATTCCTCTGTTCGTGGACACAGAGGGGGACGTTAACTATTCTTTG